GAGGAGGGCTTTGGTAGAAATTAATTCCTTTCGTTGAGACCTTTCATTAGAGTACCATGAAGGATAAAACTAGTTCCACTCCCCCCCTCCCCCTCCACCCCGTACTTTCATAAGAGGACAGAAAGAAGGGCAGTAGTTGGTAGAAAACGGTTCCTTTTGTTGAGACCGTTAATTAGAATACAATGAGAGATAAAATTAATTAATTAAACAGCACCTCGGGAAATAATTCGTGGGGGACCCCCCCTTTTAGACAGAAAAATCAGATGGCCGTCTGGCACATCTTCAAGGTATAGGCTACCTACTGCAAAAAATTCCAGGACTCTAGGACCATTTCCCTAGAAGTAGTTCAAAACGGTAGAAGTGGGTCTGGAGGACGGACGGACAAAACGCAAACAGTAGCACTTTTTTTTTAATTCTTAAAAAATGCGCTAAAAATGACAAGAGATCAAAAAGTTTGCAAACAATTAATTTAATTAAATTCCTATTTCACATTACCAGTGGCGCACTGAGAAATGTTCAAGGATAGAAAATGCAAGATGACCCCTAAAAAAACAACACCCTGTAGATTCTCACTACCATTGACATGACCAATGATGTGAGTCCTTCAGCGTATATTTCAAATTTGAGCGAAAGAAAAGAAAAAACTTTAAACAATCGTGAAATTATAACACCCTGTAGATCCGTAACGAAGCAGGCTTATGTTTATATGAACTTTTAATCATCGTATAAGCCAAAGAATTGGCACTACCGTATTTAGATCATATTTAGGAACATGTTGTATAATTAGGTATATAATAAAGTATAGGGAATCAGAAAAAAAATGCAAAAAATTGAGGTTAAGATATACTGGGTGTTGCATTTAAAAATATCAACTTGGGACCAAATCTCAGAAAAGGGTTTAAAAAAAATTGTGGAGACGCCAGTGCTAATACATAAAAATATCTAAAATAGTCAACTTTCCCTTTTTTTAGTAAGATATTCAACTTTTTTAGTAAGACTTCGAACGCGCCGTGTACCGCTCGCATCCCCCTGCCCTCCCCCGCGGAATGGCGGAAAAGTCTAGAGGTCGTAGCGGCGGAACGAGGGGGTCGTATCGAGTTGAGATTTTTGCGTTGGCCTCTTACTTCGTGGACGGGGGGGGAGGAGGGGGGAGTGACATTTTTAAGTACTTTTTCGCGAATTACTTGAAAACGTGAAACGCGGGACGTCGGGGTGTTATCAACGGGCCATGTGGCCCCCCCCCCCCCCGCGTAAAGGTACAGTTTGGAGGGCCGTAGCGGGCGACCGGGAGGTCGTATCGAGTTGCGATTTTGAGTGTTGGCTTCGCGGTTGAACTGCGCTTCAGAGGCATTGGGTCGCATCCCCCTCCCACCTCCCTAATTTGCTCATAAAAGTAACTTCTTTTATTTTGGCGTTGTATTCGGAAACGACGAGATTTAGAACGATGCCGTTTTTTATGTTGCATTCCTATATCGATCGGTCGCGTTCTAAAATCGGCGGCGATTTGAGCTCGCACTCCCCCATCCGGCTATCCACCCTCCTTTGCGTAGAGGTCAAGTTAACTGGAAAACGGGAGGACGTATCGAGTTGCGGTTTTGTCCGTTGGCCTCGCAGTTCGATTGCGCTTCCGAGCCGTCGGGTCGCCCCCCCCCCCCCACCCACATTGCTTATACGTGGTAATTTTGGCGTTTATGCGGAAACGACGGGGGCTAGTTGCGGTTTTTACTTTGGATTACTATATTGCTGCGTTCTAGAACCGATGGCGATTCTAATGAATGTGTGAGGCGAGGCGGCCCAGCCGCCGAAGCCCGAAATGTGTCTTTTTTGTGTGTTTTAAGGTGCGAAGCGAATCCGACCAATGTGTCAACGGTCTTATACAAGCTTGGGATAGGGCGGCATTTACGTTAGTGGTATATGTACCCCCTCCCCCCAAATTCCTATAGAGAGTTCTTTTTTCATATTTTGGCGTTTATTCGCAGACGAGTGCTAGAACGATGCTGTTTTTTACGTTGGATTCCTAAAGGGTTTTTCAACAAGAACTTTGTTTTCTAAAACAAAATAAAACAAAAAAAATTAGATGAAGATGATTAAAATTTTTATTGAATTACAATTATGAATGAAAAATGATATCTGGCAAATGTCCACCACGAGCACGCTGACAGATGTCGATTCTTTCATCAAAGTTTTTAATCACTTTTTGTCAAAATGACGGGTCTATTTCGTTAATCACATCACTGATTTTGATTTTTAAGGCTGCAATCGATTCGATTGGCTCCGTATAGACTCTGTCTTTAACATAGCCCCACAAAAAATAATCCAGTGGTGTTAAATCACACGATCTGGCTGGCCACTTAACAGCTGAGTTCCGTGAAATTATGCGATCGGGAAATTTGGTTTGCAATAAATTGATCGTTTCATTGGCTGTGTGACATGTGGCACCGTCCTGTTGAAACCACATGTCAGTGATATCCACGTCATCAATAATAGGCCAAAATTGAGTTGTTAACATCTCGCGATAGCGTGATCCATTGACCGTTATCGCATTTTCAGCCTCATCTTCGAAAAAAAAACGGTCCAATCGTCCCTCCAGACCACATAGCGCACCATACAGTGACACGTTGAGCATGTAAAGGCTTCTCAATAATCGCTCTAGAATTTTCAGAAGCCCAAATGCGGCAATTTTGGTTGACATACCTTGACAAGTGAAAATGGGCTTCATCTGAAAAAATGATTTTTTCAGAAAAACCAGCGGGTTGTTCCTGAATGAATTGAGCGAATCTACGGCGATGTGAATGGTCGGTCGGCTTCAATTCCTGGACCAGTTGAACCTTGTAAGGCTTCAAAGCCAAATCCTTACGCAAAATTCGCCATGTGGTGGTTTTGAATAACCCCAATTGTAGAGAACGTCGAGGAATTGACAAATTTGGATCTGCTTCAACACTGTGGCTCACGCATGCGATGTTGTCAGTTGAACGACCCGGTCGAACACGCGTTGGTGTTGGCACATTTTGTATCGAGCCTGTCGACTCAAATTTAACGACCAAATTCTTAATAGCGCCAATAGCGGTCTCAGAAGGACGATTATGTTGTCCGAAAATATCACGAATTTTTCGAAACGTAACTTTAACAGAACCACCATTTTCATAGTGGATTTTAATGATTTTAATGCGATTTTCAAGCGAAATTGAATTCATTGTAACAATTGCCCATGCATCTACTACGAATACGTCAAAAAACTAAATGTCAAAACTATGATGTTGCCGGTGTTGCCACAACTGAAAAACAAAGTTCTTGTTGAAAAACCCTTTATATCGATTGGTCGCGTTCTGGAATCGACGGCGGTTTTACTCCGCTGCGTAGAGGTAAAGTTATGACGCCTTAATGGGAGAACCGGTGGACATATCGAGTTGCGGTTTTGTCCGTTGGCTTCGCGGTTCGATTGCGGATCGCGGATCGCCCCCCCCCCCCACACATCGTTTACGGGTGCTAGAAGCATGCCGTTTTTTACGTTGAATTGCACTATCGCTCGGTCGCGTTCTAGAATCGACGGCGATTTGTGTAAATAAATATATGGGGAAGGTTTAGAGTTTCATTACTACAATGGCTCTTCTTTGTGTGTTTGAATGTGCGATTTTTTACGTTGTCTTCTATAAAATCGTACTGCGCATGCTCAATAGGCAACTTTCTTATTTATGGAGTAATTTTAACGAAATTTGAATGGCAGGGCCTTCTAATGAAAGCAAACAAAATGCATGCGCAAAAAGTCATACTGCCCATGCGCAGAACTTGACTCTTATTTATGTCGGTAAATGATAAAGAATTGGTGTACAATAAAAACAGAATCGTATGTCATCTATAGCATGGAACGACACGAGATAATATACAGTATCCAAAAGTAGGTATATATTACACCGAAAAAATGAAAACACAAACGTAAAAATACCCAATTTTCGGCGGAATTTGTGAATCAACTTACGCTAGCGAAGTCTTATACGCCGAGTTTGACTAAAAACGAGACTCGATATATTGGTGCTTTTTTGAGCCAAATCAAAATTCTTTTCCTTTTTTTTCGCATTTTATAACGTGCCAATGTTTCTTAAAAACAAACCAAACTAGATTATCACAACAATCAAACAAACAAAAAAAAAATTGACAAACGGAAAACAATAACAAACGGCGTGTGCTAACAAAACGACGGTGGTAGGTCCAGGACCTATCTAGTTATTAATTAACATTATAATATTAATTAAATTTTACTACATCAAATCTTATTTGCAGGAAAATGAACGGCATCAACCTAAACGAAACTACTTTACCTCAAGACGACGACCTCATACCTCAGTCTCAGGGAAACGGGCAGGTAACGAATGGGTTTTGCAACTCGAACGGCTGCATAACACCGACACCGAGCGAGTACCTAAACAGTGAGTTAGACGCGATTGATAATTGTAATAACGACTGCATTTACAAGAATAACTTGCAAGCGTTGAGCGACGATTCGGTCGATCTAATGGACTCGTCGAAGATGTTAACGAATTTAAATTGTGACGAAGGTAACGTAATTGCTCAAGAAGAAAGTGATACGACGAAGAGTGACGATAAATCAATTGATAGTCGTGATAATCATTTTGGAAGTAGTGCCGTTAGTTGTAGTAGTTCGGACGAAAGTGCTTTCAAGGTGAACTGTGATGTGATAAATAACCAAAAGACTGATAATAATGTTAACGAAACAAATTTAGATGCGGTAAACGTAGCGAAGCATCTTTGCGATGTCAACGGTTTTGAAAGTATATGTTTAAGACCGCCCTTTGACATTCCAAAGACTCATTTAAAAGGTGACATCAATCATAACGGTGATTTAAGAACGGCCGAACTCGATTCGGACACCGAGTGCACGGAGGCTAGTGAAAGTAGGTCGGAACGTACCTTAGCTCATCCGGCGAATCCTAGCGCGTTACATTCCGTCGAGACCAGCACGGAGACCTTGACCTCTGAAAATGTCACCTGCAAGTAAGTTGGCTCGCTTGCGCTTCTCACTTTTTGACTCTCTTTTGCAGTTCGATGCCAAAACAAATGAACGGATTTGAACGACTTTCAAGTCCCGACGTATTTAATGGAAATTTCGATTTCTGTAAAGTGTGCGCCCAAAATATTAAGTTTATACACGGCAAACATAGGTAACTATTTTTCTTTTTTTAATATTGGACAATAGAAACTAAACTGGAAGTAGTGTTAATGACTCCTGGAAAATACACAAATCTATAGCTATAAATTGTAGGCAAAATAAGCTCTTATCAGGTTCCTATACCACCTCTCATCAAATTAAGTGCACAACTTTGATTAATAAACTGAGTTTTTTAACGTAACTTGCAACTCCAAATATAGCGCAACGAAAGTTTTTGCACCTTGGACCCAAACGCTTTCGTGGTAATAATTTTTTACTCGAAAACGTGACTCGGATAATGCAGCGCAACGCACAACGTGCTTGGTACGTCTTTAAAAGTCTCAATTCGCACTATATTTACTGGTAAACAAATCTGCCAGCCGATTGTCCCAATTACGCAATGAAGGGGGGGGGGGGGGGTTAAAAGGAAAAATGCGTTTCGGGAAGCGAAGGTGGCGAGGATGTGGGACGTCGCGATGCTTCTAATGGATCAGATATCCCCCCCCCCCCACTCCGCGTAAAGGTAAGATTAGGAGGCCTTAGTGGGCGAACGGAAACGTATCGAGTTGCGGTTTTGTGCGTCGGCTTCCTAGATGGACTGCGATTGATAGGCGCCCAGTCGTACCCCCCCCCCCCCCCACACTCCGTATAGGTAAAGGTGTGACGCCGTAGCGAGAGAACGGAGTAATGTATCGAGTTGCGGTTTTATGGGTTAGTTTCGTAGTACGATTGCGCTTCCGAGGTATTAGGTCGCGTGCCCCCCTCCTCCCAAATTGCTTATAGATGTCACTTATTTCACTTTTGGGCGTTTATTCAGAAACGCAAAGAAGTAGAGCCTATTTTTTACGTTAGATTCCTCTATCGTTCGGTCGCGTTCGGCGATTTGAGTAAAGGTAAGAGGCGAGACAGCGAAGTCGAAAGATGTCTCTTCTGTATGTTTTAATGTGCGAGGCGAAGCCGAGCAATGTCAACGGTTCTACACAAGTGTTGGACACTAGATGGTATTTATAATTACGTTTTATGCCCACCACTATAGATGACACTTTTTTCATATTTTGGCGTTTATTCGGTAACGCCGGTCGCCGTTTTAGAATCGAATTGTCTATGCTGCGTGTGCGCAATTCGCTAGATGAAGAATGCCGCTCTCCCACCAAATTTTTCATCGCCGATCTGAAAATCGAAGAGAACCTGACTTCGTCTATGTTTTTTCTATATGGGTAGATATAGGAGATACCTCTCTCATGGTCAGTAGCGACGGTTTTTAGAACTGGCAACACTGCAATGTGGGACGAGAAGGCGCGAGTGTCGTTTTTGAGGCACTTTTTCGCGAAGTACTCGAAAACGTGAGCAGAGAATGTAATGATACTTTCCCAAAACTAACATTATCAAAATCCCCTTCCTTCATAATGTCGCGTAATTTTGACATATACTGTAGACATGCAGACATTAATTTTTCTCCTCTATCAGAAATTTTGAAATTTGTTTTCTTTTATGTAATGTCATGGTTTAATTTAGTTACTTAATTACATTGTAATAGGTTTACTCTTATTTTATTTATCTTGCTTATTATTTTTTTGTCTATAGTGCCGCTTACGCAAATGTAACAAACTTCAATTTTGTTCTGTTATTGGATATTATTATCTCGAGTAGTCTTGAAGATATATCGATTGAAAGGCGGCGCCTCCCCCCCCCCCCTAGCGGTAAAGGTATGATTCCGTAGTGACAGAATGGGGTAACGTGTACAGTTGCGGTTTTGTGGGTTGGTTTTTGGTACGAGGTATCCCCCCCCCCCCCCCCCCCCAAAGTTGCTTATAGATCTCACATTTCATATTTGGGCGCAGAGAGCTAGAACCATGTGTTTTACGTTGGGTTCCTCTACTGTTCGATCGCGTTCGGCGATTTGAGTAAAGGTGAGAGGCGAGGCGGCGAAGTCGAAACATGTCTCCTCTGTATGTTTTAATGTGCGAGGCGAAGCCGAGCAATGTCAACGGTTCTGCACAAGTTAGACCGAATGGTTTTTACAATTACGTTTTATGCCCCCCACCCTTGTCTATAGATGACACTTTTTTCATGTTTTGGCGTTTATTCTTAAACGCCAGTCGCTGAGGGTCTCCTATATCAATCGGTCACGTTTTAGAATTGAATTGTCTATGCTGCGTATGCGTAATAGGCAACGTTCTTATTTATGGAGTAATTTGAACGGTAGGTCCCTCTAATGAAAGGAAATAAAATGCGTGTGCAAAAAATCGTACTGCGCATGCGCAAAACGCAACTTTCTTATTTATGTAAGTATCCAAAACCGAATAGGTATACATTACACGAAGAAATGAAGAAGAAACTATCGGAATATTGGTGCTTTTTGAGCCGAATAAAAATTTTTTTCCTTTTTTTCGTATTTTCTAAAATTCTAACGTTACCTAAAAACCACCCTAATTATATTCTAACAGGAATTCAGCAAAAAAAGAAAAATTCTGTACGGTAAAACAATATAAAACGGCGTATGCTAACAAAACGGCGATGATAGGCCCATCTAGTCTAGTTACACACTGGAATAAGCAGATTTCAATTGTCCCTAGGTTTTAGGGTTAAGGATTTTGGAAAGGGTGCTGGGAGCAAGACCTCTAATGTGTTTTTTTTTTTAGTTTCTGTGTGACTTCCAGTACTTTTTCAAAGGTTTCCTACTCGGTTTCCCTCGCGGTTTCCTATCTTCCCTTTGCATTCTTTTGAAAGGGCCTTTAGGAGTCATAATGCATTTCTAGTGTTTCCTCCAGAACTCCCTCTTTGCTTTTCTTATGACTTTATTGTACCGTGTGGATGAAGGATCGGTTCCACATTGCAAATGGCTTGCCTAAAAAAATTAAGTCAAGACTACCCTTAATTAAAATTAGTGTAATTGCTATTTCTGTCTGCTTCTATCACATGGAGAGAGCGCGTGCGCACTCTCTTACATCGATGCGTGCATTACGAGCAGAAGTTACGCTGCGTTCTTCTCTTTCACACTGGACAGTACGGTTGTCGCAATCTTAAGCAGCGTGCGAGAGAGACATGTGTATTGACTAACGTCTTCTGTGACGTTTTCTTAAAATCCGAGAGGTTCCATTCTATGCTGATACACAAATTGTTGGGAGCTGGCAACCGCGCGACGAGGTTCCATTCTACGCTGATACACACATTTTTGAGAACTGGCAACCGCGCGACCTACAAGAAGAGGAAAGGATTTAACCTCAATGCAGAATCACATGTTTGATACTGTTAAATTTTATTGTTTGAAGTTGCTTTTAGTTCTGGGGTAAATGTCTGCTCAATTTATGTTTATGTTTTGATTACATGGTCTTGGCCCCCAGTTGATGTTATATATTTGGTCATGTGGAACTTATCGAATTGTTCGAAATATGATGTGTCTATCGACATGTTTGTAAACTAACACTTCGCCCTGAGGAGACACTCACTGGAGTGGTAAATAACTAACCAGTTACGACACCTAATGCTGGACCGTTCTGGAATCTTAACTTGTGCAGAAACAAATCGTTCTATTTAGTTGTAAAATTAAATGTGGTGTATTTTCCAGGAGGCACTTTACTTTCGGGTGTCCACAGGGTACTGAATCTTTTTTTTTTAGTCATAATAGTAATAATACAAGCGGAAAAAATTCACGTTACTCTACGCCACCTCTATACTCGCGTACGCCTAGCGGGAACAACTGGGAAACGACGCTCAGCTCTGTCAGCGAACAGAAGAGCGTGGCCCTGCATCAGTCTAGGTTAGGAGACGACGGACTAGTACCCTTACGATCTGATATGCAAGATAGGTTATGGCAAATAATAAAAAAGCAAAAGGTACTATACCACATCGGCATCTACTGTGAATTGACATTAATGTTTTATAGAGAAAGGAGGAGGCACTTCAGAGGGAGCTGCATACGTATCGGCAGGCGCTAATCAAACAGGTCTGTCACCAGTGCAACTACAATGACGGAGAGAGAATAGACGACACGGTTAGTATGTAATCGGCGCATTGTTACAGCAAAATCCGAAATGAAAAATACAAGTTAGTTGACCGAATGCCCGCCATTTTGTACTGTCAGTAGTTGAATTTCGTCCATATCTTCACGATTTTGTTTTTAAGCAGAATCTCTTACAGTTTCTCAGACTGTTTGGACTGAACCTCCTAAAATGTACGATACTTATAATTCATTCAGTTGTAATTGTACTTTACGACATAAAATATGTGACAGTTATACTTGATCGTCTCTGTTTGCAAGTCTCGATTCATTGATGGTGTTGGGAGAGTTTACCCAAGTTGAAGGTCGTACAGTTTTCCCCACTGAATATCGCTCGTGGTAACTACAACGTCTGAGTGCTTTTTGTGAATTCTTTGAATTTTGCCAAGACCTATTTACTGCAAGTGGTCGTGTAATTTCATTGAGTAGGAGTTAGATGACGCAAAGTCGCTTAGTTTTCAGTCTGAATTGGATCAGGATCGGATGATGATCCCATATAGGTAAGCAAAAACGTGCTTAATTTGCTCTTTTTGAGTATTACAATGTCCATTTGTACCAAATCAGACGAATTTATATCCAACATGTAATGTTTATTTTGAGGGTCCTTAGATACAAACACCCTGTATATTTTTGTAAATCGCCATGTGAACATGTTTTTATCCAATATGTAAAAGTTTATTTCGAGAGTTGTTAGTTACAACATTCCATACTCGTATAATCTCAGTTTTTTAATATGGAACACCCTATATATTTTTGTAAAACGCTAGATGAACATGTTTTCTATCCAATATGTAAAAGTTTACTTCAAGGGCCTTTGGCTACAAAATTTCATACTCTTACAATCTCAGTTTTTTTAATATGGAACACCCTATATGTTTTCTACCCAAAATGTCAAAGTTTATTTCGAGTGTCGTTAGTTACAAAATTTCATACTCTTATATCTCAGTTTTTAATATGGAACATCCTGTATATTTTGTAAAAATTTAGATGAGCATGTTTTCTATCCAATATGTCAAATGTTTATTTGAGGGTACTTACTTACAAAATTTCATACTCGTATATCTCAGTTTTTTTTTATATGAACACCTTATATATTTTTGTAAAACGTCTGATGAACATGTTTTCTATCCAATATGTAAAAGTTTATTTCGAGAGTCTTTAGTTACAAACTTTCATATTTGTATATCTCAGTTGTTTTTATATGGACACCTTGTATATTTTTGTCAGATGAACATGTTTTCTATTCAATATCTAAAAGTTTATTTCGGGGGTTCTTAGTTACAAAATTTCATAGTCTTATATCACAGTTTTATTAATATGGAACACCCTGTATATTTTTGTAAAACGCTAGAAGAACTTCTATCCAATAGGTCAAATATTTATTTCAAGGGTACTTACTTACAAAATTTCATATTCGTATATCTCACTGTTTTAATATGGTACACCCTGTATATTTTTGTAAAACTTTAGATGAACATGTTTTCTATTCAATATATAAAAGTTTACTTCAAGGGCCCTTGGCTACAAAATTTCAGACTTGTATATTTCAGTTTTTTACATGGAACACCCCGTATATTTGTTTAAAAAGTCACATGCACATGATTTTTATCCCATATGTAAAAGTTTATTTCGAGGGTCCTTAGTTACAAACTTTCATACTTGTATATCCAGTTTTTTTTATGTGGAACACCCCATATATTTTTCTAAACCTTTGGATGAATATGTTTTCTGTCCAATATGTAAAGGGTTTATTTCGAGGCTCCTTAGTTACAATATTTCATAATCGTCTATCTCAGTTTTTTATATGGAACACCCTATGTATTTTTCTTTTCTGAATCCTCAGATGAACATGTTTTCTATCCAATATGTAAAAGTTTACTTCAAGGGCCCTTGGCTACAAAATTGCATACTTGTATATCTCAGTTTTTATATGGAACACCCTGTATATTTTTATAATATCTTAACTTGTTCAATAATCTATTATGGGGTGCTTTCATTAAAAAACTGAGATTAACAAGTATACTATATATACAAAAGCACAATGTACAAATTTCTCCTACCCACAGTCGTTGACTCGCTTTGCACAGGGCGTCCCATTTTCGACAATTATACAGGGCATCTCCTTAAATGTTAGTGCTATGAAATGTTTATCTCAGTTTTTTATATGGAACACCTTGTATATTTTGTAAAAGTCAGATAAACATGTTTTCTACCCAATATGTAAAAGTTTACTTCAAGGACCCTTGGCTACAAAATTTCATACTTGTATATTCAGTGTTTTATATGGAACACCCTGTATATTTTTGTAAAAAGTCAGATGAACATGTTTTCTGTCCAATATGTCAAAGTTTACTTCAAAGGCCCTTGGCTGCAAAATTGCATACTTCTATATCTCAGTGTTTATATGGAACACCCTGTATATTTTTGTAAAACGTCAGAAGAACATGTTTTCTATCCAATATGTAAAAATAATAGATTTTTTAGATACTATCTGGTTACTTTTTAAAGAGGGGGTCCTTAGTTTCAAACTTTCATGCTTGTATATCTCAGTTTTTTTATATGGAACACCCTGTATATTTTGATCAAAGTCAGATGGATATTTATTCTATCCAATATCTCAAATGTTTATTTCGAGAGTTCCTATTTACAAAATTTATACTTGTATATCTCAGTTTTTTAATATGAAACACCCTATATATTTTTGTAAAAAAACGAACATGTTTTCTATCCAAAATGTAAAAGTTTATTTTGAAGGTCGTTACAAAATTCCATACTCGTATATGTTTTTTTTTAATAAGGAACACCCTGTATATTTTTGTAAACAGTCAAATGAACATGTTTTCTGTCCAATATGTAAAAGTTTATTTCGAGAGTGTTTAGTTACAAAATTTCATGCTCTTATAATCTCAGTTTTTTTAAATATGGAACACCCTATATATTTTTGTAAAAAGTCAGATGAACATATTTTCTCTCCAATATGTCAAATGTTTATTTCGAGGGTACTTACTTACAAAATTTCATACTTGTATATCTCAATTTTTATATGGAACACCCTGTATATTTTTGTAAAATGTCAACATGTTTTCTATCCCATATATAATAATAATAGATTATTTAGATGCTATCTGTGTTACTTTTTAAAGAGGGTCCTTAGTTTCAAAATTTCATACTTGTGTATCTCAATTTTTATATGGAACACCCTGTATATTTTTGTAAAATGTCAACATGTTTTCTATCCCATATATAATAATAATAATAGATTATTTAGATGCTATCTGTGTTACTTTTTAAAGAGGGTCCTTAGTTTCAAAATTTCATACTTGTGTATCTCAGTTTTTTATATGGAACACCCCGTATATTTTTGTAAAAAATCAGATAAACATGTTTTCTGTCCAATATGTCAAATGTTTATTTCGAGGGTATTTACTTACAAAATTTCATGTTTGTATCTATATCTGTTTTTTTATGTGGACACCTTGTATATTGTTGTAAAACGTCAGATGTTCTATTCAATATCTAAAAGTTTATTTCGGGGGTTCTTAGTTACAAAATTTCATACTCGTATATCTCACTTTTTTTTATATGGAACACCCTGTATATTTTTTGTGAAAGTCAGATAAACATGTTTTCTATCCAATATGTAAAAGTTTATTTCTGGGGTCCTTAGTTACAAAATTTCATACTTATCTGTTTTTTTATATGGAACACCCTATATATTTTTGTAAAACGTCTGATGAACATCCTGAGTTACAAACTTTCGTACTTGTATATCTCAGTTTTTTTACATGGACCACCCTGTATATTTTTATAAAATGTCAGATGAATATGTTTTCTGTCCAATATGTAAAAGTTTATTTCGAGGGTCGTTAGTTACAAAATTTCATACTTGTATATCTGTTTTTTTTAATATGGAACACCCTGTATATTTTTTTAAAACGCTAGATGAACATGTTTTCTATCCAATATGTAAAAGTTTACTTCAAGGGCCCTTGGCTTCAAAATTTCATACTTGTAAATCTCACTTTTTTAATATGGAACGCCCTATATATTTTTGTAAAAGTCATATTGAACATGTTTTCTATTAAATATGTAAAAGTTTATTTCGAAGGCCCTTGGTTATAAACATTTGATACTTGTATATCTGTTTTTTTTTAATATGGACCACCCCATATATTTTTGTAAAATCAGATGAACATGTTTCCTATTCTATACTATAAAAAGTAATATAGGCGTCATCTGTTCTTTTTGTTTTCAAAATGAATAGTATACTGGATTAGGTGAAAAAGTTGTCAGACCCAATCTCATTTTTAAAGGGAACACCCTGTATATTTTAATCTAAAAAGATAGCATATTCATTTCTCTTTTCATAAATATAAGATTAAAAAAGTTCAAAATTCTTTCTGAATCTTTTTGATTTTTTTAACATTTTTTATATCATTTTTTTTTAATCACTGAAATCTTTTTTTACTGTCATCCCTGGCCAGCTATATTTTTGAAAAGAGAATGTAATAATGCTACTTTTTTAGATTACAAAATACAGGGTGTTTCATTAAAAAAAAGATTAGATCTGACATTGTTTTACTTGAATCTGCATACTTATTTAGAAAACAGCAGATTATTCAATAAATATATTTTTTAATCTATAAAGATAGCATATTAAACTTTTTTTTTAAATATGACATTAAAAAATTCAAGAAATGTTTATTTTGATTCAAAAAAGATTTTTAAAAAATCCTGGATAACGAGCTGCATTAAAGTAAACTTATCTTGTCTAGAGTGACAAAGAAGATGGCGATAGTTCGTTTTTGAGGGTCGCAAGCGAGTGCGTTGATTCGCCGATGGCAGCAATGGTCAGTCTCGTTTGTACGAACTTGTGGCTTTTGCGTGTATTTGCTCGTTCCTTAACTCCCCCGATATCCACCTTCTGCACGTCTAAACTGACATTAGGGTTCGTTTTTAGAATTCCGTGGTGGATTCTAATTGCAGCGCGGGCGAGGGCCAAGCGTCGGCGGTCGAATCGCTGCGTTCGGACATATCATGGGAGGCGGTGGAGGAGGGGCCGGCGTTTCCCGAGGGCATCTCGACGCTCTGGGTGCCCGACCATGCGGTCTCGAGGTGTACGGGTTGCCAAACGCAGTTCTGGCTCGGAAGGAGGAAGCACCACTGCAGGTATTATTACGCTTTGTTTATAGACTGAGAGGAGTAAATTGCAAAGCCTGAATTACACCACTAAATTTACTAACTTTAGTATAATTGCTCCTTTCGCCTACAATTCTTTTTTTTTTATCATGGTAGAGGCACTTAGGGACTATGAGTTACTGATAACTTACTTTTAATTTTTACTAAATTGCTACCTACTGAGCAGGGGGAATGATTCTCATTCACATGCCCTGTCACTTTTGAAATCACTAGAGCAGCAATCATTACAAGGAGATCTGAGGGTTTGCCCCTTTTGTTTTGATCATGATTATAAAGGCACTTAGTGGCTATGAGTTACAGATAACTTAGTTATAATAAAATTATTACCGATACCCATTACGAACTCGGACGTTAACTTTTCTTAAGGAGAAACGTGCACTTACAAGTAACACAGATACACAAAAACAACAGATTGCTGTATGCATTTAATAGGTAACAGGTTTAGGTATACTTAAAAGCGCCCTCTATTGAGTAGCAGTATAAACATGTACCTTCCAAAACTGTAAAATTACACTTACGGATTTATGCATTAGATGTCTCTGCAAAAATTTAAAGCCGATGAATACCTCCACTTCACTTAAACAATGGTGGCCCAGCTTACCTCCATATCACTCACTGTAATAATACCAATAATAAGGAATTCGAATTGTCCAACTTTTAACGCTAAATTTTTTGCAGCGACATCTAATGCATAAATGCATAAGCGTCATTTTAGAGTTTTAAACTGTGACATGTTTGTACCGCTGCTCAATAGAGGGCGCTGTTAAGTAAAGTCACTAGATATAGAAAGTACCGCAATCATCCGCCATTTTTGGGCAAATTTGCTGCCAACTTAAAAAAATTGACAAATAAAATCTGAATAGCTGTCATTTTTTATAACCTAACTTTATAGTACTGTCATGTTTTATAAAAATATATACAGATATCTCCAAACAGGTGGAACAATCCCTAACATTAAAGTTACTAGAATCTGGAAACTTCCGCCATTTTTGGGCAAAAATCATGCGTTCTCTCTCTAACACACGAGCCCAATGGATTGCGGTACTTTCTATATTTAGTGACTTTATACTTCAATCTGTTACCGATTAAATGAATAAGGTTAGCTTATTTACAATAAGAACCTTAGCTGAAAAATTAAATCACAAAAACGCCAAGCTAATTTGAAAAACATCAGAGTTGCCATTGGTCACTGTGTAAAATCGGCGCCCTCTCGGCCAAATTGCAAGTGAAAACTGTTAGCGCGAGTTCCTTAAAACGCTCCTCTTAGTTTAGAAACGGAGAATAGTGAGCAATGGACATTTTGCAGAAATTGCGGCCGAATCTTTTGCGCCGACTGTTCGGAGAACAGCACGCCGCTGCCGTCCGAGCAGCTGTTCAGTCCGGTGCGCGTATGCACGACGTGCTTCGCGAAGTTGCGCCGCGACTGCGCCGAGATACCCGACCACTGTAAGCACGTGGGCCCGCAAACGACGACCGCGAATCCGCAAATAACAGCATCCAGTAATTAAGTTTGATTGTATTATTTTTATTGTAAAGTTTTTTGTATTATATCAATGTTTTTAGGTTTACATCTGTCTGGGTTTTGTAAATATTTTCTAGTGCACTGTTTTTGGTCACGTTTTTAGTCGAAATGTTATTTTAACCTACATTTTATGTCGAATCTTGTGATGTGTTTGGAGTTGGCTACGAAACTGAAAAATTTTCCGATGTAGCTTCCACGGTGTATAATCATAACCACGCTTTCTGATCAATGTTCAATTTTCCTGTCCAACTCTTAAACCGTTTTTATAGCTTTATTTTTAAAGTGATGCACATTTTTTAGTTTTAGTAATCCTGTTAACGTCCATTAAATAAAGGTTACTGTGATTTTAAAAGGAAATGTTCTTGAGAAATGCTGTGATGGAATATTTTTAATGCTTTTCATCACTTTAATTTAGACGGTAAACATCAATTGTGACAATATATGTATACACTATTGGGACTCAAAGGTTTTGAAGTGACCTCTGTCTCGAGCAAATGTTAACGAAGAAAAAACACTTCAAAACTTTCGCAGACGATTAAAAAAAAAGACGTTCCGATGGCCGACGGGCGGGCGTGTACTAATTGTAATATATTATTTTCTAATAGGGAAGTAATTGCAAAAGTCAGTTCCGATTTTTAACATCTTAATCCCTTTCGTTTAGAAGCAATAAAAATGGGCATTATAACAATATAATTTTTAGCGGGATTCCCACATTTTCTAAAAGGATTTAATTTTTCAATTTGATAGATTTTGCATTTACTTAAATAGACAAAAGAAGGTAGTTGTACTAGAATAATATACATGCATTATAATGTATTGTAGATGAGACAAAATATACACTATTTAACTAAAACTGCATTCAATAATCACTCATATCCTTCTTCAATAGTGCGACTAGAAGGTAGGTAACTTTGCTGCTACCATAACACTTGAAGTGCTACAGGGTGATTCACGTTCACGTTTTTAAACTTGCAGTTGAAATAGGAAAGTTGGTTCATAATAATAATTTCAAGATGGCGCCGCTTTCGTAAATACCGGATGTTGGCGCCATCTTGTTTTTTTTAAATAGAAACCATTTTCTATTTTTGTTCTAAATGTGCCATTTTATTCTGAATTCAATGGTTCTAAGATATGCGTAGGCCGTAGGCCAATCTGTCATAGTTTTTGAGAAATGGGAGATGCAAAGGTCTATTCAAAAATTATTTTCTTAAACCATTCAGGATAAGTGAATGCTTAAAATCTAAGGAATTGTTGAGTGTGGCCAACATTTTCGTATAGAGAGTTCACAACTGAGAGGTTCTACCCTGTATATACAACTTACGACGATACATCATTTTTGAGAGTTGGCAACCATGCAATTTTTAGGTGGGAAAAAGCTGCCTGCGCCATCTAAATAGCACGAACGGGGATTACGTTGATCATCTTGTCTTAAAAGCGGTCGTGAACGCATCGCTCCATAAATGTTTCTTGTTATTTGTGTTATGTAATGCAGGTAGTAATTTTTGCATTTCTTTATATCATATTTGTGTTTTGTATGTCACCTTTTATATTTTTTGTGTGTTTGAATCTTTGTTTTTGAAATTTACTTGGTTTAACCGCAATGCATAATCATATATGTGATACCGTTATGCTATTGTTTGTAATTGTTTACTTTTTTGGTGTAATGCTTGCTTAATTTATGTTGATTACTTGCTCTTGTCCCTGAAGTAACATTAATATAAGTTTTGATCATTTTATGTTAATATGTGGAAATTACCGATTCGTTTGATGTATGTACTGACTTGTTGTTTGTAACTAACAATGTTCTCCGTGATTGTCTTCGACTTTCAACTGTAGGCTCGAAACCCCGAACTAGGGGCGACGCTAACTCTCTTGCGGGGGCGAGATTACGCTAAGCAGACCTCTTCAGTTTAGAATCTATGTGCGATAAATGAGTGGCGATTCGATAATTTCCACATATTTCGTTTTTAGTGAAATTTGATTACAAGGCCGTGTAATTTTCCATATTGTTTTTAAAAAAAGGACTATTGCACCAAAGGTGAGTCACATCCTGTCTAGTTCACCAAATAAAAATAAGCTGGGAAAAAAGACCTCACCAAGAAAAAAACCAGCCGTCAAATTGATATTAAATTTTGTAGCAAAATTAATTGTGATGATGCCGCATTTTATATTTTTTGTGTGTTTCAATCTTTGTTTTTGAAACGTACCTACTTGGTTTAACCTCAATGCAGAATCACATATTTGATACCGTTATGTTTTTGTTTGTAATTTTGGTGTAATGCTTGTTTAATTTATGTTTATGTTTTGATTACATGGTCTTGACCAGAAGTAATATAATAATATCCATTTATTAAAAAAAAGTGAATAGAAAAGAAAAGCAGGTACAGTAAAAAAACATAGATGTTCACCGTTAAGTTGAAAAGGGCGAAGTTCAGATTGGTAGTTGAAAACTTGTACCATCTGTTCTTCCATTTAACCCTGGCTTATTTAAACGAAGTTCCTAGTCGGCCAATGATCGATATCACTTACGTGTATGACATTAAAACTAAAAGAAGAAAAGGGCTTAGAGAGACCTATTTTGTCTTCTAGCAGTGATTTCCGCATATATTTTTCATTGTAGAGGATTTTATGTGAGATGAGAGTTCATATAAGTTTTGATCATACCTTTAAACGCGGAATTTATCGAATTGTTTTGATGTGTGTATGCGTGCAGACTTCTTGTTTGTAAAGTAACATTTTCTCCGTAAATGAAGCAGTCGGGGGGGGAGAAGAACGAGAGGGTAAAAACTGTAAACTGTAGTCAAAATTGAGCTACGACACCTAATTCCGTGATTGTCTTCGACATTCAACTGTAGACTCGAAACCAGGGGCGAGTTACCTATCTTGCCGGAGCGGGATTATGCTAATCAAAGCTCTTCGGTTATCAGAATCATTCATCATATCCAGGCATTCCGGATTGGAGAAGGTCCGGTTAATATAACAATGCATTGTATCTGTACTTTATGTAAGAGACTTCAGAATGTATTCCTTCACACATGGGGAAGGATTGGAGGCGTTTTTAAATCTAGGTACTTGTGATGGCCATTCTTTCACTTATCAAGTTTTGTATTGCATTAACGTCAGATTTCATTTATTCAAATTCAAGGTTACTTACTTTTAGTCTTTGTATTTTGTAGATTGTTGAATAGGAAACTCATTGTTTTCCAGTGTAAAAATGATTTCCAGCGGTGTCTCGATATACGCCAATGGTACTTGTGGTGTCAACGGTGTCTATATCCAACGGTACTTTTTGTTTTGAATTTGAAATCATCTCGACCCTGTACCCATCGCATCAACTTCTCGAATTTAAACTAATGCTCGCATACCTATAAGATGCAAAAAGCGGAGGAATTCCTCTGTTTAGCGGACTTCTGCAGAAAGACGATCACGAGTAAAACAAAAAGTAGTAAAAATGGAAATAAAAGAAAAATATACCATATTATTATTTACAGTGTAGTGTAGACAATACGAGAGTCGACAATTATTTTTTACCAATAGGGCAATACATGGCCCTAAGTTTGCCGACATCGATCGGACTCAAATCTTCGACCCATCCCATGTTGCAGTTTGGCGTCTGAAAAGTCAGTCTTTCACTGTGTGCCGTTTCGATATTTTCGCTTACCGTATGCGGTTGTATTGTCATCAAGCCATTCGCCGAGAACGCGTACGGATCGTAGTGCATGATGCTACAGAGGTCGTATGGGTATCCGAAGCTTGTTTCGCTATTCGCTGGTATTATGTCAAAATTGAAAAGCTCACCTGGGGAAAGTTAATGGTTGAATTGAACTAGGTCAGGTGGACTTACTTGGTATAATATTTTGGGGGTAAATTGTAATGTAGTTGTCCCTGTCTGGAACACTGTGCATGTGGTAAAATCCGACGGCGTGCATGAATTCGTGGATAATTTGGTGACGGTGTACGCAGGTGGTTCCCAAATTCATAGTTTGAGGTCGCCCCTGTCTACCAAGCTCGGCGTAACACCCGCTCGGATCGGCATTCTGCGGAAGTAGAATTGCTCGGGCAAAAAATCGAGAAAGCGCCACCTACCGTGATCTGAACCACGCTTCCTCCACAGTATGTTGTCGACTGGTACGGATAAACGCACGTATTCGGAAACCCAGTACTCAGCGTGGTGATTATCAGATTACGGTCCGATGCACCTAAAACAGGTCATCCTAGCCTGGCTGGAACTTGGGTAGTTGTACTTACTGAAACTGCCAGTAATGGTGTAACACACAACGCCTCCCGGCCATCAAAGATTCACATTAGTCGCCGCGTTCCGTTTGCTTGGCAAAAGGATGTCGCCCTCGAATTTGCCACTGTACTGCCATAGATTCCTCTCTCTACCTACAAATCGACGAGTTTAGTCCATTGGCAAACTCAACCAGTCGCGTACTCTTCTTTATGTTGTTTCGTAGTGACGAACAGTCTGAAGGAGTTGAGAGGATGACCAGTAGAAGAACGGCGGTTATTGGCTCCATTTCTCAGCACTAAAATCTTTATCAATTTCGTCTAGCGCTTATATAGCGAAGAGTTTGTGGCACGGGCAAATATTATGCACTCGATCTTAAAAAATAAGTGTAACTATTTGCTTTGTAAAATTTATGGTGATAAATTGCGTGTACCTTGGCGTCTTGGTACACAGGAAGAAGACACATATTCTTGAGAGTGTTTGTAAAAACAACGGAAAGTCGCTTGAAAATGAGGTGGCGTATTGTTGACTTTCCAATTTTATTTATTTTCTTGTTCAAATTATTTAATTAGACTACGTTCTTAGGGCAGTTGACGCACATAGTGGTCATAAAGATGGTGGCGAAAAAGACAATCACTAGCTAGACGGAATTGGCACATACGAAAATTAAGGGTACCACGGCATGGTTGTACAACGCACTGGAATATCTCCGCTGTAGAGGTGTATTACATGGGGTAGAAGTCTGCTAATCAAATGCAACCTGCCGAAAATATCAGATTTGACTTTACCGATAATGGCCCTTTTTCTTTTTGTTCTTGGATTTTTTGAGTTATTAGATGCTATCTCAGTCGGCCCTAGACATACCTACCAGGGGGAAGAAATATTCCTAAAACCTGCTCGACATCTTCTTGAAGTCTTTTTGAAACCATCGTGAAATCCTCTTGAAATGTTTTTGAAATCTTTAATTTTTCTTGAAACCTTCCTGAAATTTTCTTGTAATCTTCAACTATTCTAGAAATATTCTTGAAATCTTCTTGAAATTTTCTTCGTATCTTTTTCATATCCTGTTGAAATCTTCTTGAACTTAAAATTTTTCTGAAATATTGAAATATTTTTGAAATCTTGAAGTATTCGTAAAATCTTATTGAAATTTTGTCCAAGACTTTTTGAAATATTCTTGAAGAATTCTTGATATATTCTAAAAATATTCTTGAAATATTCTGGAAATAATCTTGAAGTATTTTTGAAATCTTCTTGAAATCTTGTTCAAACCTTGAAATATTCGTGAAATCTGTTTGAAATATTGAGAGCTTTTGGAAATCTTTTTAAAATCGCCTAAAAATCTCAAAATATTTAAATTTTTCTTAAATTTTCTTACTTTCTTATCGAAATTGTCTCTAAAACTTCTTGAAAACCTACTTGAAATCCTGTTAAAATATTCTTAAAATCCTTTTGAAATCTTCTTTAATTTTTCTTGAAATCTTCTTGATACCTTCCTGAAATCTTCTTCTAATTTTGATATTTTTTCGAAATCGACTTTGTTATATCTTCTTGAAATCTTGAAATCTTTCAGAAATCTTCTTAAAATCATTTTCAAACCTTGTAATCCTCTTGAAAGTTTTTTAAATCTTCGTAAGATCTTCTTGAAATCTACTTGAATTTTCTTGAAATCTTCTTGAAATCTCTTGAAGTCTTCTTGAACTCGCTTTGAAACATTTCTAAAATCTTCTTGAACTTCCCTTGAAATTTTCTTAAATTTTTTTTGAAATTTTGAAATGTTCTTTAAATCTTGAAATATCCTTAAAATATTCTTGAAATTTTCTTGAAATCTCATGAAGTTTTCTTGAAGTCATCTTGAAATCTTCTTGAAATCTTTCTGAAATCTTCTTGAAATCCTGTTGAAATCTTCTTGAAATCTTCTTTAAATCTTGAAATCTTCTTAAAACCTGCTTGAAATCTCTTGAAGTCTTCTTGAAATCTTTTTGAAATCGTCATAAAATATTCTTGAAATTTTCTTGAAATACTCTTGAAATCTCTTGAAGTCTTCTTGAAGTCGTCTAATCTTGCTGAAATGTTCTTAAAATCTTTTTCAAATCTTGTAATCCTCTTGAAACTTCTTGAAATCTTCGTAAGGTCTTCTTGAAACATTCTTGTGATCTTCTTCAAATCTACTTGAATTTTTCTTGAAATCTTCTTGAAATCTCCTTGAAATGTTCTTGAAATCTTCTTGAAATCTTTTTGAAATCTTCTTTAAACCTGCTTGAAATCTCTTAAAGTCTTTTTGAAATCGTCTTAAAATATTCTTGAAATCTTGAAACCTCTTGAAATCTTCTTGAAATCTTTTCAAATCTTGTTGTAATCCTCTTGAAACTTTTTGAAATCTTCATAAGATCTTCTTGAAACCTTCTTGTAATTTTCTTGATATCTACTGAAATCTACTTGTTCTTGAAATCTTCTTGAAATCTCCCTGAAATGCACTAGAAATCTTTTTCAAATCTTGAAATCTTCTTAAAATCTGCTTGAAATCTTTTGAAGTCTTCTCGAAATCTTCTTGAAATCGTCTTAAAATATTCTTGAAATTTTTTTGAAATCTTGAAATCTTTTTCAAATTTTGTTGTAATCCTCTTGAAACTTCTTGAAATCTTCATAAGATCTTTTTGAAATCTACTAGAATTTTTCTTAAAATCCATTTGAAATGTTCTTGAAATCTTGAAACCTTTTTGAAATCTTCTTGAAATCTTTTTCAAATCTTCTTGAAACCTTCTTCAAATCTACTTAAAATTTTCTTGAACATTTGTTGCAATTTCTTCAAATCTTCTTGAAATATTCTTGAAATCTCCTTAAAATGTTCTTGAAACCTCTTGAAGTCTTCTTGAAAACTTCCAAAAATCTTCTTGAAATCTCCTTCAAATCTTGTAATGCTCTTCATATCTTCATGAGATCTTCTTGAAACCTTCTTGTAATCTTCTTGAAATCTACTTGAATTTTTCTTGAAATCTTTGAAATGTGCTTAAAATGTTTTTGAAATCTTTTTTATCTTCTTAAAATCTGCTTGAAATCTCTTGAAGTTTTCTGGAAATCTTCTTGAAATCGTCTTAAAATATTCTTAAAATTTTCCTGAAATCTTGAAATCCCTTGAAGTCTTCTTGAAGTCGTCTTGAAATCTTCTTGAAATCTTTTTGAAATTTTCTTGAAACCTTCTTCAAATCTACTTAAAATTTTCTTGAAAACCTGTTGCAATTTCTTGAAAGCTTCTTGAAATCTTCTTAAAATGTTCTTGAAACCTCTTGAAGTCTTCTTGAAATCTTCTAAAAATCTTCTTGAAATCTTTCTGAAATCTTCTTCAAATTTTGTAATCCTCTTAAACTCCTTCATATCTTCATGAGATCTTCTTGAAGTCTTCTTGAAATCTCGTAAAATCTGTAAGACAGTAAGCAATAGTCGAAACTACTCCTCAAGGACGTTAAAAATACTGCTGAACAAAAGGACAGTGAAACGAACGCGTAAGCTAAAAATAAGTTTCGATTAAACCTAAAAAATATGTTTATGTAAAAGAATAATAATAATGGGAACACTTAAAAATAATTCTATCTAAATAGTGCGGAACCGGAACCTATACTTCATATGGGTTTCAACCTCTGATACTAACCACCAATCTTTAAATTTCGTCACTTATTATAATGCTGATATGTGTTGGCGTGCTCCAAGCTTTTGCTTTAAGTACCGTTACTGAGTCATGTTTGTTTGCTATACTGTACATGCGGTTATGCCTTTGTAATATTTTATTAAGTACTTATTCATGTATTCACGTACGTGGGAGTATATTATCAGTGCGAGGTTGCCATGTACGATTCGAGTAACCATTTATTCCTTGGAGGAAGTACTTCATACAGTTCCGATTCTTCGCTGTATCATGCTAGGCTTCCTCATCTCGTGCGGACTACAGCTCTTGTGTCTTAGCATTACGAAACTATGGGGGTCTTCCAATTAACTTTTCTTCGGTATAGTATGGGGGGGGGGGGCTGTTCACATGTACCGGGTGACGCAATAAGATTGTTCCTCGGCCATATCTCGAGAACCGTTCGTCATATGACTTAGGGGTAAAAAAATGATTGGGTAAATCGGTTATGAAGAATCGCTGGAAAATATTTTCAAGTTCTAAAAATAACCGCCAGAGGGCGTAACTACCATCTTAAATTATATTCGGAATCGGAGTGCTCGAAACAAGGAGCGAGCGGGGTCTGATAGTCTTCCCGAAGGGGTAGCTCGGTTACCATTGTACGGATACGGATTTATACAAAAGAGATCCGAAATAAATTTTGTGCACGATATCATTTTCCTTCCTGATCGTGTCTCACGTCCCAACACATAGAAAGGCCGTCATATTAAAATGCAACGTGAATCCTTCTGTAAGGTAGGATCACTATTCGTACCCAGCCCGAGGTCGCTACAGAGCAAGATAAGTTTACTCGTAGCGTAGCGTGCAGAGATATAGACGGGGGCTATATC